ACATGCATCATGTCTGCCAGAAAAACACGGACGCCAAACCTGGGAGGATGGAGGTCGAGGCGGCCCTGACCCTCTTCAAGCGCTCTATATCTCCAAGCACGACGTGCGGTATACAGCACTTGTCTCTGACGGGGACAGCAGGACCTTCTCTGTCCTTACAGAAGAGAATGTCTACGGGCTAGTCCCCATCGTGAAGGAAGAGTGTTTGAACCATGTTCAGAAGAGGATGGGAACGGCACTGCACAACCTTGTTCAGGAGAGCGACAAGCCGTTGAGCGGTAAGGGCAGGTTGTTGAAGGCCCTCATCGACAAGTTGAAGGCCCTCATCGACAAGACTACTATGGCTGGGTCCTCCGAAACAACTCCAAGGGCGTGGCAGCGATACAGCCTGCTGTTATGGCCACCTACCATCATGTCACGTCAACTGACCAGGAGCCTCACCATGAACTCTGCCCGGAGGGAGCTCAATCGTGGTGCCGTCATAGAGTTGCCGAGGCAAAAGGTGAGCCACAGCCCCAGCACAAGCACAAACTCCCAGCCTCCGTCGCTGCAGCTATGCTGCCCATCTACCAGCGCCTGTCGCAGGTTTCTCTGCTTCAACGCTGCTTGGGAGCAAAGACTCGGAATGCATCTGAGTCTTTCCACTCTATCCTGTGGTCTTTGATGCCTAAGGAACAGCATGCATCGCTGATCGCTGTCAAAACTGCACTGCATGAAGCGGTGTTGAGGTTCAACGCCGGTTGCTACAAGGCAACTGCAGAAATATCGGTTGCAGTGGGCCTCGCCCACTGCAACCGATATTTCTAGCCCTCCAACGAGCTGCCGAGAACAAGGCCAGCAAACGACATCAAGAGAAGTTGGAAAGGCGGAGCAAGAAGAAAGTGCACAAGAACACTTCTGACTATTCTGCACGGTCATTCTAAAGCTGAAAATCTGTGTGCAACTTTCAAGTGTTGTCTTCTCAGAATGAATTTTTTCACTGCCGTGGCTGCTCGTCCCAGCAATATCTCAGGAACTGATGAATGGATTTTTGTGCTGTCTTTTTTATTCTGTTCTCTAATAACTTTGTGAGGGAATAACAGAGCCCTTTCTTTAGAAAACTCTGCTAAAAATTTATGATAAAAAATTTAATTTGATGAATGTGGGTTTCATTGACTACACAAAATTCAAAGTTGCGTTAAAATTTTTCAACAAAGAAATTTAAAAAAAGGGCTCTGTTATGCCCTGGGGAACCTATCCAGGGGTCATCATAACAAATTTTACGCCGCTACTACCTTTTTCAAATTCTTCAGGCCTGGGATAAGGAATGCATGTGGACGATTTTGATAAATATTTGTAACTTGAGAAATAATATGCACAGCTCCATGAAACTTTGCAGTTGCTCTTATGTCTGTGCTATAAACACACCCTGTAAATTTCGTCCAGATATCTCTAAAAATAAGAAAGTTCATATATATTCCCCACCTCCTCCCTTAAATGTTACATTAGTAAGTTTTTCACACAAGTATGATATATTGGTTGCAGAAAGACACTGAAAATGAGAAAATCAACACCTTTCAGGAAAAGTTTGCGAGGAACTAGGAGGCACTACCTTCACAATAAAAGGGATGACAAACCGGTAGTGGTGCAAAACTATCGGTAGTACTATCGATAGTATCGATAGTCGCCAGAAATCTTACTATCGATAGTGAAAAAAAACTATTGATAGTACTATCGATAGTCAACTATCGATAGTCGACTATCGATAGTGCTATCGATAGTCGACTATCGAAAAACTATTGATAGTCGACTATCGGAAAACTATCGATAGTCGACTATCGAAACACTATCGATAGTCGACTGTCAGAGAACTATCGTTAATCAACTATCGGAAAACTATTGATAGTCGACTATCGTAAACCTATCGATGGTACTGTCGACGATTTACTATCCATAGTTTTGCGACACTCTTAGTTTGGGTCGCTCCCGCTTCTCTTTTTATCGCTTTATCTTTTTTTTTAAATGGGACACCAACTAGCCCAGGCACTTACCATCCCAACTTTGATTCAGCTTTCAGTGATGACGAAGACGGGAGTTTGGGCGAGGAGAGGAGAAGGGGAAACGAGCGGTAGGGCGAGGGTAAGACGGGCCGGGGAGGAGGAAGCAGACGAAACGCTGGAGAAGAAATGGGGAAACCTCAATCTCTCTTTAGCGTCCCGTCTGCTTCCCCCTTCCCGGCCTATTTTACCCTCGCCCTACCTTCTTGAGTTGTAACGGACTATAGTAGTGCAAAACTATCGATAGCACTATCGATAGTAGCGTTAGTCGCCAGTATAGTAAAAAAAAAACTATCGACAGTCGACTATCAAAAAACTATTGATAGTACTATCGATAGTCGACTATCGAAAAACTATTGATAGCCGACTATCGAAAAACCATCAATAGTACTATTGATAGTCGACTATCGAAAAACTATCGATAGTCGACTATCGAAAAACTATCGATAGTACTATCGATAGTCGACTATCGATAGTTCTGAGACACTATCGATAGTTTTGGGAAAACTATCGATAGTATCGATAGTCAATTTATCGCTAGTTTTGCATCACTACAAACCGGTTCATCTAACTTATTACACCTTGTTTATTTCAAACACCATGAGCTTATCAAAAGCCTGTTTTCTGAAGTTTTTGTAGCTTTTCATTAAAACCTGCAAGCTTGATCATATTTGCAGCAAGACTTGTGTTTGTTCCGGCTAAAGTGAAGTTCACCTTGAGTAGGATAGGTGGCGCTAGATGTCGCCCAATTCCCATCCCCAGATTTTTGAGCAGTTGGGCGCAATTTCGGGCATTTTTGTGAATTATTATCAGGATGGCGCAGGAAAACCTCTTTGGCGCAAAATGGAGGAACTGGCGCAGGAGTGAAAGCCCTGAAAAAGCGGCTTTCCAAACTTTCGAACACATTTATCTCAGTTTCACTTTTTACCATCAAATGTTGCTTTGAGGAAGCTACCATCTGATAATGAAATGGTGCGCGGAGCCAGTTTTTACTTTCTGTACTGAAATTTTCAGAAAGGAATGTACGGGGCTATAAACTAACTTTCTGCATTTTCATGGTCCCTTGTTAGAAAAAGCTGCAGTAACTTAAACCTAATGTTTGCAAACAATTTTTTTTTTAATTTTAATGTTTTTAGTAGAAATGGTATTTTTGTAATTTCTCTCCACAGCCGTGCGACACAGATGTTATACTGTATGTTTGTTCAAAAGAACTGGCCATTATCTTTACCTTTTCTAAACTAGTATTTCTCAGGGGGCACAGTGTTTATTTGATGGACATTTATGTAACTCTTTAAAGGATAGACTTATACTCTTAAAATTTAACACATCATGCTCTTTACCAACTATAAATATGCGCTGATAAAATACTAATGGGTAAAAAGATTTCTTTCCTGAGTAGTATCCTTCCTTAAAGGGAAGCTACGGAGCTGGTTGAAAAAAATGAGTTAGTAGTGAATGCTAGCGTATTTTAACCCCGTGAACCCGAATACCCAAACCAATTGCTGCGCAAGTATTGTTAAACGCGCGAAAACGCGAAAGAAAGTCGCTGTACGTGACGTCATCGACGGATCTTTTGGCTGCCCAAGGCTAGGGAGGCGGGGCTTCAGCCCTATTTCGAAATTGCTCTGATGGCTCTCCGGCGCGTTGCATTGAAATATAATTTTGATATCTGTTATTCTAAAGGCCAAATGAATGCAATTCAAGCGTTTTTTTCTCAAATGTAGAAATGCCCCATCTTCCCTTTAACCACTAAACATATGAGAAAAGAAATTCTACTTAAATAAGACAGGCACTTTTCCAACAAAAAAAGTTTAGTTAAAAAAAAAAAAAAAAGGTTTTCTTTAGTATTATAATGTTGAAGGACAAATTTTTCGGTTTGCGGGCGAAACTGAAACTGTACCCTAGGCCAGGTTTCTACCCAACTATTTATTGTCCATTGCAACTCGAGAAAGTAGAACGAGCGAAACGAGGGCTGGGAAGGAGGAGGCAGATGAAACGCTAAAGAAAGGAGGAAGTTTCCCCCTCTCCTCTCCAGCATTCAGTCTGCTTGCTCCTCCCCAGCCTTCCTTTCCCTCGCCCTACCTTCTTGAGTTGCAATAAGCTATAGTGTTTGCTCTGAGGACACTCGGAAATCCAGCAAACTTGGAGCGGACACTATAGTCAGTTACAGGTTAAGGTGGCGGCAAATGCCCCTCAAAGGGAATCATTTATTCCTCCGCCACCTCCGCATCCAATAGCGTCCCATTGTTTCCGTGGCGTCGCAGCCAACGTGCGAGGAGGGTCTTGCCTTTCTGTACATATTTGCTTTATCTTTTCGACTTTGACTTAGCATTGTGGAAGCCACGAGAGGGAGATTAGAGTTTTCCCCCTCTGATGGAAACAAATACGACTCTCGGGGGTTAGCCTCCCCCTCCCATGGATACAATGGCTGCTTTCAAGGGCTCGGTTCCCCCTCCAATGAATACAAAGGCCGCTTTCTTAAAAAGTGGAATCGGAGACAAGTTGGAATCCAATGAAGCGGAACAAGGAGCGTTTCCAGTGAACTCTTCTTTCGACTGCGGAGAGATATGAAACGGGCGCATCACGCTTGTGGGAGGAGCTTCTCCTACCTTCTTGACTAGTAACCGATTATAGCTGGGTACAAACGCTATCATCATCCCACAGGGGTACAGTTTCGGTTTCGTCCGCAAACCGTAAAATTTGCACTGTAGCATAAATATTCGGGGGAAAAAAATGTTTTTGCGACAGACATAGATTTTGAGACATGCCTGTCCTCACCAGATAGGGAAAAAAAATTTTTTTTTTTACTAGGTTCAGTGTTTTTTAAAGTTGAAATGAAGTAGAATAATGGAAATTTGTGTTTGATTTCAGCCCGATTTTAGAATGAGACAGCCCTCTAATGGTCGTCTGTAGAAATGCAATGGGCACAGGAACAGGACCGCATGGCAATGAAGGCACACTTACCTTGTGGTAAAGGTGACTATTTTCCCAGTCCAGGACTTTCTCTATCGAATGCCGCGTCTGCAAATAAGATTCATTCCACTTTTCTATCCCGTTCCGACACAGTCCTTGAAATTCTGTAGCCGTCTATACACATTCAAAAGTGCACACTGGCACTTTAGTGTTTGCAAGATGCAATCATAACTATGGCGTTGCAGCATCCAATGGTGTACAAGTTGTGGTCATACACCAAGCGTCTGTCAGCACCTGTTCTAGTGTGCTAACAAAAACAACAAAACAAATGTGCAGCACGGGGCTTCAGAGTCTTCCCAAAATGATAAGCATGTAGTTCTTTCCGATTTGTTTTAAACAATGTGGAAAACACGACCGAAGGATACTTGATTTTTCTTGCCACGGGCACTAGTCGAAACTTGAAAGCTACAGAGGCGAGATTCACGAAGAGTTTCACAGGCTACGCAACTTAGCTATGTTTGCAAGTTACACATATCGTAAGAAGTGCAAAACTTGGTATTTACGAACTAACGTTCTCGTCTTTTGATGCCCTGCAAGCTCCCGATGCCCGCGAGAGTGTGGCTGTTGCTATGGCGATAGTCCTTTCGGCAACACGAACAACCAATTAAGACTTGACCCGCTTCGGAGCATGTGAATTCTGAATTACAACAAGCACAGGCGATCTTTACGCCAACGCTTGTCTGGAGATTCAATGCGTGCAGTGAAACGCCGACGCTATGATTTATATGGGCCCGAATGCCGAGAGAGAATGCCAGGATAACCGCCTGGGCCGACTGCTGCAAACTCGATCGCTACGAAGTCAACACAACTACCATCGTTGCTAAAAGGAGACGGCTTGCACCGGTGGTTTGCAAAGCGGGGAACAGGGAAACAAATCGCTGCGGCATTTTTTCGCGGCCTTTGCCGCGAAAAATTTTTCTTACGGCCTTTGCAATTGGGGCAATTGCCACCTCCCGCTGCAATTCGCGGGGGGCACTGTCACCTCACCCCTGGAGGGCTTTAACCCCTGGGGTACCCTTTGCCGTTTGCACAGAGCGCGTCTGACAGTGTATATCAGCGCTGTCGCAACTTGCGGCCGAGCTTTTTATAGCCTTTGACACCTGATCCCTCATGCGCAATCTGCACATGAAGTCGGTTAGCTGCTCTAGACGAGGGTGTAGTAGTCGGTACAATTTTCGCACAGTGCATAGTACAGCCTAAAGTGCTTCCTCGAGGGCTTGTGTACATATCCAGCTGATTTTTCATTTCTGTCCGTGACCGTCTTTGCATGGTTAATCAGAAGTATTCTGAGGAACTTGTTGCAAATTAAACCAGCCAAGCGCTTTGAGTGACTGTTGTCAATGCCCTCTGGGCAACTTAGGATTGGCGCGTCATCAAGATAGGGTGCAATGAGTTGCACCCTATCTAATTGCAGAACTTCGTGCACATTTGTACGCAGAAGGTGCTTAACAGACTTTAAAAAAAAAAAAGCAACAATGGTGTCCAGAAGTACGAGGAACCTAGGATTTGGAAAATGAAGTTCACTTTTATCCTGGCCTTGCAATAAGACGAACAGAGGATCACCTCTGTTATTCATAGTGAACAGCATAACACGGGCGTCGCGCCCAAACTCACTAAGGAGTTTCACCAGATAGCCGCCGACGTACACCAGACCAAAGTTGCCAAAACAGCAACCTATGAAGCTCGAACTCCAGCGCAAAGCAGCTCGGAGGGACTCTCCTAGTGGGGTGAGGTGGTTGCGCCCCTGGCGGCAAGCAAGTGAACTACATACGGAGAAAAAATGCCATTGACTCCCGGGCGATTGCAAAGGCCGTAAGAAGAGAAAGAGAGCGTGCGCTTCCAATCCGGCCGTGGCTAGGCCTACTGTACCGAACTAGCCCTTGGCAGTCGCTTGGTCGGTGAGATTGCTGCCGTTGTAGCTTTTTCCAGATATCATTGGATCCAGCGTTCGTAAGATTGTTTCATAAATCTGACCTCAGGTCTATAGCAGCTTGTATGTTGCTTGCACTCATGGAGAAACAAAGTGTACCGTGAAATACCACTTGAAGAAACTTGAATTGAACAAACTATTCAGATGAACAAACTCAAATTCCCCAGCAAAGCCCCACTGTGCATAAAGGATTTAATGGAGTGAACTTTCACCTATGTAAACTTTTCTTCGAGGTCCCTGAAATTTGTTCGAGATGTATTTCACTGTATCTCCAAAGGTTCGACATGCGGCGGAGATCGAAGCACAATAGACCTTATTTTTTTCCTGGTGAAGTCGTGCAGAACTTTGAGGGCTGTGTTGCGAGACTCAAAGGTGGTGGCACGTCTGTGCTGTCTTAGTGTTCCTATATTGTGCTAAATTGACCGTATAAAGGAAAAGAGATGAAAAACAAAGAACTGCAGCCTGCACTAGAGCCTTTTCTCTCAGACCCATTGTGAACATTGTTATGAGAAGCGATAGAAGCATTGCTATCTTCAAGGACCATTGCTTAAAATTTCGGATAAGTGGCACCAAAAATAGAGAAGATCTGCACTCTGTAGGTGGCACAACCTGTTGCCCAAATAAAAAGGCTTCAGCCACATTTATTTAACTATCTTTTGGGCTCCTGTGAAACTGCGCCGAACAAATTTTTCCAGCATGCCTCTGCTCCTACAGGGTGCAGCCATAGGGATCAACACATCGGCTTGCATCGCAAAATTTCAAATTCCAAACTTGCATACCTGCAATTGGGACGCGAACATAGTCTCTCAAGATGTATGTCTCTTTTTTCAAAGCTTAAGTCAGAGATGGTAATATATTAAAATTAAAGCACAAACGACGGCTGTGCATTTCCTATGGCCTATACAAGATGTTTGTTGTCTGCACATTGGTTTGTGAGCTTTCCCACAGGTGGTCATTGTTCATCATATAGTGTTAAAAGTATTAATTAACGCGATTATCTCGCACATCGCCAGCCTCTACAATTGGCTCTTGGTGTTTTTGCGTACAGCGAGCCAAGCGAGAGCAAACTCGTAAACCAGTGTGCAGACGACGAACAGGCTTTTACAGGACAAAAAAAAATACACGGCCCTTAGCTTCACCATATTTCTAACAAATCACTACCTTTGAGTTGAGCACTGAAAACAAGACATAAAACTCGAAAAATAGTCAGAGTGCAGGCGAGCTGGTGTAAGTTGAACATGATTGTAAACAAAGAGACTGGGGCAGAAAAGGAAACACAACAGAAGGTAGAAAAAGAGGAGACAACATCTCAAAGAGGAGACGTTGCCTCCTCTTTTTCTACCTTCTGTTGTGTTCTCTTTTCTACCCCAGTCTCAGGTTTACAATCATGTTCAACATAAAACTCCTTGCTAAACTATGTTTGTGTGCCCAACTTCACGCATGTATGTTTGGAATTCGAATTTTGTAAGGCATGCCAAATGTGTCGGTCCTTACTGCCCCACCCTGTACATACACCCTCACCCCTTGCCTTGCTTCCCGCTGTCGTCCTTTTCGAAGGGCAACGTCTCGCACGACCAACGTGGTCAGAACCCGTCTTTGTGCATATTTAGCCTTTTTCGACGATTCTCTTTTAAGCAATGGTAGTATGCAGCATAAATATCAATGAAAACCGATACAATGCCAGCAAGTTTTGACGGGCGGATGCTATGTTGGGCTGCACTTCGCTTGAAGTTCGCAGACAACCTCCCAGACTGCGCTTGTTACTCGAAAAGGGTTCACATTACTACAGTGGAATCTCGTTAATTCAAACCCTCTTAATTCAAACTTGTAGATAATTCAAATTAACATGCAGGCCCTGTCTTATGTGTTGTAAGGGAGGAAACTCCCGGTAATTCAAACAAAGTTTTGGTCCCCTTCGAGTTCAAAATTATTGAGATTCCACTGTACTTCCTTCCAGTGCATGGGCTAGATGCTCCCAAAGAGAACTTCGGGAAAAGATAAACGTCGGGGAGGGAGCTCAGTGTTTGGCGAGAAAACGAACGACTCACCCGTTTGCTCAAGCAGACGACGGGCCAGAGCGAGCATCCGAGGGTACAGCAACAACACAGGCAGCCGCAGAAAAGCCACTTGACGTTCACGGGTAGAGTCTTGCGCAGGACGCTGTTGATGCGCACAATGGTAGCTTTGAATTCTTCTGGAGCCACCTGCGGTAGTTTTGCAGCTGGTTAAATTACAGCTAGCACAGCACGCCACCTCGCACGAGAAACAACTTTCGCCCTACGTGTAAACGAGGTTGGTGCCATTTCCCATCGACTACGGTGGATGAAAAGTATGGGTCCGGCAACGCCATCTGCTCATAGTGCCCATTTGTTTCGCCTGCTCAGTTAGAGCCACTTGCTTGCCTCGTATACTGCCCAACACATTTTTAATGCACATTCCTAAAACTCGTTACACACTTCACGAATGCAAACCTCTATACTCGTGGACTACTTCCTGTGGCATTTCAGAAGTGAAGAGCGCTCGTGCATGGCAATGATGTTCGAGCACCCAAGGGCCAATAACTGACCGCATAGCCGCAGCAAGGTGTCCTCAAGTATATACTCTGTTGCAGGCTAAGAAAAGCAATACAAGCTTCGCCAAAAAGCCCTCCAATCTTTCTACTTTAGCAGAGTGAATGCCAAAGAGGAGGTGAGTCCACCTGCCTCCTCTCCAGCATTTGATCTGCTAAAATCGAAAGAATGTACGGCTTTGCAGGCGGAGCTTGTCCCACTTTTCTTAACGTGCACTAGAGTGTACACCTAATAGTCGGTTTGCCTCGAGAGCCTTCATGTGCGCTTTGCTAGGGTGATGCCACCCTTTGTAATACCACTTGCCAACAAACCAGCAGCCATTTTGGTATTCGGCGATAATCCGTGGGGCTTATAACCCTCCCGGAAACAAGCACCTTATCTCACAAGTTCGAAGCAGGGTTGTGGAACCCACGGAGGGATAATTAGCATTTTCCCCCTCGGATGGGAGGACCAGTGATTTGATTGGCCTAAGCCGTGTTGGAGCACGTTTTGGAGCAGCAAATGTGGCCTTTGGAGCAATCAAAACAGTGTTTTGGAGCAGCAAAAGTGGCTTTTGGAGCAGATATCCTTAGAAAAAAAAAAAGATATATACACATATATATTCGTTCTAAGTGCTGTACTAACGGAAGAATTTGTGTTGTGCTGTTTTCTGATGTGACGTGTTGTCAAGGAACTCGCTGCATGTGTTTTTACTACTGAGACATCCCACAAGTGCACACAGTCCTGTAGGCATTGCCAAGCAATTAAAATAAAAACACTTGTTACCGTTTTACTGGTTCCCGACGTGCCAGATATTCGTCAAAAGTAAGCAAACGTAAAATAATGGACTGCAAGCGTCCCGGCTGGTGCGTCTATCGTGCAATCATGTTTGTATGCACGTGAGGGCAACTTCTGCAGGCTTGCAGTAGCGCGTGCTTCATCGCACGAGCGGAGACAACAGCTGTTCGATCAAAATCAAAACCATGCCACTCCAATTAATCCCTCGCCAACTGATTCCCGAAACTGTATGCAAAATTTAGCTTTCGAGCGTACAACCAAAAATAGTTCAGCGGTGCGTGCTTGCCAAGCAGGCAAACAAAATACAAGCTATACACACACACAAAAAAAAAAAGAACCTGAGCGCATCGATGCAAGACATTGCGAGCCAGGGTCAAACAGTTCTTGGAGCACTTTGTGCAACAACTCAACTCGAGACAAACAAGCGTGGTGTGTGGGTTCAGCGGCGCGCAGACATTACCTTCTTTGCTTTAGCTCACTTCCCTTCTCCAACTTTCTTTCGCGGCAGAGTTTTCACGTACCGGGGTCCCTTTCTAAAGAAAGCCCACCGAGAGAAACCTAGGTAATCAACACTTCGTCAAGCAGTCTCCGAGTTAAAGAGGGACTTTTGTAGTAACATATGAATTAAACAAGAACAGGAATGTTGATGAGCATGCGGCAGTATTTAGTTTCATTTTAGAAAGCGCCATATCTGCACCGACGTGGGGCTGCAACACCCAACGTCGCGCGACCACGGTGACTGGAAGGCAGAGACCAAATATACTTTTCCCACGGCCTTGGCTTTCAGGAGCGAGTGCTTCAGCTCACAAAGTAACTCTCGCCTCGCAAAAATGTGGTTTCGTTTCACAGCATGACGGCATGGCTGGTACTTGGCACGCTAGCGTCGGAGCGTCCGCACAGACCTGCGTCTATCGTTGAAAATATTTTTAAAAAAGACGCGAGACGAGACTTACGACGCTTACGAGACGACGAGAGAGCGAAACGCGAGACGGCGGGAATACCATGCAAGACCAGATGAACAATTGATGCAGGGTGCTTTGTGTCAGGCGGCCGCTTGCGCCACGTAACAGATGCATGCTCAGTTACGGTACTCAGTTTAGTTTCGGTATTGAAAGGCGACCGAAATTGTTTTTTTGGCGCAGGTTTGGCGCAGATAACCCACATTTCGGCCAAATGTAGCCGGATGTAGCAGGGTGAGCCCATTGGCACAGTTTAGCGCACCAATCACATCACTGGAGGACAGATGGACACAAAGGCCACTTTCCGGCGCACGAGGAAACAATCGGAGGAATGAAATGGCGGTGGAAGAGCGTGTGGGAAAGGGAAACGGGCAATTGGCATCACTCTATGCGAAGCGCACATGAAGGCACCGTAGGTTTGGCTTGCTGCATGCCCGACCCGGAGAAATAACAGGGAGTAAAACGGTTTCAACAACAAAAAACTACATTTAATTGGACGTGGACGAGTTGAGGAAGAATACTAACAGAAAACCAAAGAGCACTGGTGGTGCTTCAGTCCAGCCAGCGACTCGCTGACAATCATCACAGTCCCTGGGAGCAGTGAAGCCGCGGCACAAATTCCATCGCTACGTCGAATCTAGCTGAAGCCCAACATCAACGCTCCTAGGCCGCCACCATGCTGTTGATGATGAAAGCGTCTGGTGCGACTCTCGCATGCCCCAATAGTTTTTCCGCCACTCTCCTGGATTGTGGAAACCTGCTCAGTGCGATCCTCCACCTATGTTTTGCGGTTTCGCATAGAAAGATTTCCGGCCTCTCTTGGAAGTTTCTACTTTATTTTCCTTGAGCATGCTGCATGCCCTTTCTCTGTTGTCTTCACTCATGAGAAATGAGGCTGGTAAGTGCACACCATTTCAGCGGTTCTGCTCGACATTCACAAAAAACAAAGCAAGGAAAGAACATCGAGCTCACCTTATTGCAAGGAAAGAACATCGAGCTGCCCACGACACAATTCTGCAAACAAGGACAACTGTTCTTTCAAGTCCCAGAGATAATCTGCGTAGAGGTTTATCTTGGGGACTGGAGAGAACAGTTGTCTCTCTGCTTGGTGCTGGTATTGTGGAAAAAAAAGGAAGCTCTCCCCAAAACCAGGTCCTTTTGGATTACGGCCGATTGTAGAGGCGCGACTGTCGTCGACACTGCTGTGGCGCGTTTTTTGATATCTTTCTCAGATAAATCCTTTTCTAATATTGGTGTACCGTGTGGTATGCGCAATATATTGTTTGAATGTTGACGCTTGCTAAATTTGATGTCAGAGTCATGCCGTGTAGATTGGTATCACATCGTTTGTGAGCGTCAAATATGCGTGCCTTTCGGCCATCGGTTGTTAAGTATTTTCGACAGCTTTGTCGACTGACACTGCTGAGCAGGCGGCGCCGTCAAAACTCGTCGTAAAACAAAACAAACATACCAGCCACATTCCTTCAGTCGCGCGCGTACCCAGCAAAAATAATAACCAGTTTCATTTTTGTTTTAAATGCGGCAGAATGCTTTTTCAATGTCTTTGGGAAAGTACATACAGCATTAAATGCAAAACAAAACAGCGGGAAAAGGCGAGAGTTGAGCTGCCAGCTGTGTCTGAAGTTGCACCTACGCAGCCTGCACCTATCGAAATCAATGGTCCACTCAAATAGGGTTAGCGGGAACGCCGGTAAAAGACTAGCGCCAAACACACTGAACAGGCTTACTGGGCTTGTTAAAGATTGTTATTCTAGACAGGAACAATTATCTCTCAGTGATAGTAGGCAGTTACTAATAATTAAAACTAAAGTTATGAAAAAACTGTGGTGCAAGCCTCTCTCAAGTTTGCATTCATATAGACACAGAACCTTCTGCAAGCCAGCAATATGTATGACAGCCTATAATGAAGTTTGTTTGGCCATAAATGGACCAAAGTATGTTAGCGAGGAAAAGCAATTTTACGACGATTCAGCCAGCAAAATTTTGTTACCCTACATTGTGCGGTCACCATATCGCAGCAAGATTTGTGTTTAAATCTCAACGTTTGTTTCTCGAGACGAGCATATCTCTACAAGAGTGTCTCTCAAGATAACCACCGTGATTAAGGGTTGTCAGTGATTGGGTGTGGATTTCGAAGAGGGTATTTACCTTAGCAGATAGCGTTGGTGGGAATTCCGTGTCGAATTTATTGCTCAGGCCAAACCTGCAAGCACAAGAAAGCCACATTTCTAAACAAACTGCCTCCTCTTCAAAGATGTCCACTGGACACTGGGAACGGTCCTATGCCCACGCGTGGACCACATAACACGTTGAAGAGAATGAAGATGTGATTGTAATAACATGACAAGAGACCAGTCAAAGGAATTGTATACACCCCTCCCCGCTTGGGTATACAAATATATTGTAAATTATATAAATAATTGAGTGAGGCACGGCTTCGCATTTAAAAGATACCGTGGCTCTCATCAAGGATTTGAAAAGCACAGTGATATGGGGGAACGATTAACACCGGAAAACATACTCTTTTATAATCATATACGGATACTGGGAAGTTGTCAGCTCAATAGTGTCTTTTTTTTCAAACAGAAGGTGCAATTTTGAGCACACAAGACACAAATTGAGTTGCTGTAGTTCTGGCCACTGCCACAGTGTGTTTTGCTCAGTCCCATACCACGGCACCCTGTTACTCTGTGAGTAGAGGCAATAAAGAAGCTTATCTCGTAGTTCAGGGTGTCTAGCAAATTATTATTTTGAAATTCCCTGACTTTTCCAGGTTTTCTTTGACAATTTCAGGTGAGATTTCCTAACCACTGTAGAGGTGGTTAAATATATAAGGCCATTACAACACAAGGCATTGAGCACTGAGCACTGTGAGAATCATTTTGCACGGGCTTAATCCAACTTGCATATTCCAAAATATTCGGGTTCGTCTAGTCCGGATTAAATGAGCACTTTCTTGCTGCCAGCATTGTCAGTAAAGAGGCCAATTTCGGAGACACGATGAGAACACAACACTAACTATACACACGTCGATAACCGAATGGCAGCGGATGCACACTTTCGGATACTTTCGTAGTAAAGCTTGGGTTGGGGTCTGCGGCTTTCCCCATTTGTTAGTAACTCTAGTGGCCCTAGCTGGGTCTAGTCTAGTGTCGCACCCTCAATCCAATCCAATGCTTGGACTGGATTTGTCGGCTGTTCCCTTTGCATCGGGTAGCACACTCTACATCGGGTGAGCAGCGCCTGCGCTCTGCTCTAAGCAGAATTTATTGCCCATTTCTCTTCCACCAAGTCCGCAAGTCTTTGCTCAGGGCACTCGACGCGTTTCCGGCTTATTTTCCCTGACTGGGCTCGTTTTTTGACAATGTCCCTGACAATTCCGGGTTGTGCCTCCATGCCACACCACTCAGGAACAGTCGACTAAAGGAACTTAGTGGAAATGAACCAATGCATAGCATCGAAAAGAGAAGTAATAATAAAAATCTTTATTGGCTCATGAGAGCCACACAAACAGTCCAAACTATGGGGACAAGAACGACAGGGCGTCTGTTTCAAATGCCCCTGCTCCAGCATGCGCAGTGCTGGGGCTGCGCATTGCAGGCTTACAAGACGCCGAAGCGGTATCAAAAGTAGGAAGCCATCATTCTCATCTTGTCAGACTGCAACAACTGTGTTCATATGTGGTGATACAATATGCTAGGTGAGGACAACACTGTCATCCTGCCTGCGAGTGTGCGTGCGATTTGTCGCACGCAAACTTGCAGGCAGGAGATTTTATACCAGTATGGAGAATTGAACGGTAAAGGGGGAAATCATGGTCGAATAGAGAAAAGCAAAGACGGCTTTTACAAATAAACTATGCATCGCAGAAAGCTGAACCATAGCGAGAATCCAATGCTAGCGGTGGTGATAAAATGTGAAAGTGTGAGCGCATGAAGTTACCTGGATCAAAAGAAACACACAAAAAAAGAAAAAGACTTCTCAATGAGCCGATATCTACTTGAGCCTAATATTCATTGAGGAGTAATTTGAGATTGTGGGTGCCTGTAGCCTTTATTTCAGTGAAAGAAACTGGGGGGCTATGTGCAACAAATATTTTGTTTCTCCTAAAAAGAAACGGAAGTGACGGAGCTGACAACATGGCATCTGATTGTTAGAGGCTCAAATGACTAAAGTTCCCTATTTCGTCATTTGAGCCTCTAAACAATCAGACGCCATGATGCCAGTTCAGTCACTTCCGTTTCGTTTTAGGAGAAACGAAACATTTGTTGAACATAGCCCCCCTGGCCGCTTCGAAAGACAATACTGTGTTGTTTCATGCGGTCAAGTTTCTTCACCGACATATTGCTGCAAGCACCGACAGTCTCAAATTTTAATTTGGTGAAAATTTGGCTCAAGTAAAGGTCGACCCATAGAATTTTTTTTTCCTTTTTTATCTGTAGTATGGCAACATTATGCGCTCAAACTTTCGCATTTTATCTTTACCACAAGCGTCAGAATCTCACGGAGTTTCAGCCTTCTGCGAAGCGTACTTTACTTATGAGAGCTAAAAAGCCGGGTTTACCTTTCAGAGGGTAAAAGCTGAGCTAGTTGGTTCTGAAACAACTTGGGTAAAACCAGCTGAACAAAGGAAGAAAGGTGACAGGAGAAAGAATGACGACCGCTGGTCGGTTCGTCATTCTTTTCTCCTGTCACCTGTCTTCCTTTGTTCAGCTGGTTTTACCCAAGATGTTACCTTTCAGGATCGGACTTCGTAGATCAGCCGATCGATAATGAAAACAAAATTCCGGATCGACGAGCTGTTTAATGGTCGTGACGTCTGCGAGACGTCAAGAGGGTCGGCGCGACACCACAACAAACACGTGGGTGAGGCTGAATCGATGCTGGAAGAAGACCTCCCCTCCATTTCCAGACACACGCACGCCGTTACCATCTGGAAAAAGTTGCGGCACGCCAACCAAACACACCGGGCGCAATCGTTCCCTTTGTTTGCCGTAACTACCACGAAAAATGCACAAACAAACAAAAAGCGCGTCGCTGGCAGCTCTCGCCGCCTGCCTCCGGGCGTTTGGAGGGGATAAAAACCCAACGTTGTTTGTGTCGCTATTTATTTTTAAAGCGACCTGACGTTCAAAAACGCTGTCGGTCATACCACGGAGGTCTTTTCCTTCTTTCGTAAGCAAGCACCGAAGCATGGTTTAAAAATGGACCATCGAAGTGCTCGCGCGAGCGCATGCATGCACGGTGGGGGGTGAAGAACTCTTGCAGCGCGTGACGTTGAGGCACTGCAGTAGGCGCTAGCTCGTGCGGAGGAGATAGACCGGTACTCACACTGTCATGTTTCCGGCGCCTCGTATGACCACCGGTTCGGGTACGAGGCTCACCAACGAGTCTTCGTTGGCCCTCAGGTCTTCGTCGTCCTCTTCGTAGATCGCGTCGAAATCTGCCATGTTTGACTCAGGCGACGCTGCCATCCGGCTTCAGGGTCTCGGGCACGCGCTCGTCGCTCTCCTGTTTCCGTCTGTGCGCGAGAAGTAACCGCGGTACGACCTAATGCGACTTCAAGCGAGTCATGGCACCGCACGAGCCATAACAAAAGCGCTTAGGGTTCGTTCAGCTGTTGTGAGGATCTCTGCTGTCTCTGCCAGTCTGTTTCGCTCTCCCCTGCTCCTCTACGATAGCTTCTTACTTCTCTCACCAGGTGACGACACTAAAAAACGTGTTTAAATATAATAATAATAATATTGGCAGATGGCGCGAGAAGCCGTCTAATTAAAACTAAGATTCTTCTGTACATCTATAAGTGTTCGTGTCACGTGATTTGTTTGAGTGCGTTCTTTTACTCAATACAAGATTAAACAAATGCCAGAACGCTCGGCATGGCTGAAAATTATAAAAGTGTAAATTAAGAGGATATATAACTATAAATTGCGATCTAGTAATAATAAAGTAACGGTATAAAACAGAAAATCATTGTTCACATCAGCTTATTGCAATGTTTTCTTCTTTCGGTCAATTTATATCTTTTATATTAGAAATAAATTAACCAGCGCAACCCATAACAATCGATACTAGATGACGTCACTGTTAAAATGAGACGGAAGGACTTGTGTTCTCGAGCGCGTTCATATCACTGCTCTTGTCGCTGGTTTCTGCGATTTTTTACGGTGGGGTGTGTTTCGTGTCACGTTTGTGTCTTGGAGCCGTTTTTCGCGATTCTTCACGTCCGTGAACGCCCCCGGCTTTCCGCTGGACTTCTCAGCGATGCATCACGGCATGTCGTCCGAGAAGTTCGAAGACCTCGAAGAGGACCTCAGGGCCCTCCTCGACGACATCAAGCGCAAGTTGGACGGGACCCGCAATCGCCTTCAAAGCGGCGAAAGCAAGAAAACCCAGCTACGCGAAGTACAGCGTAAACTGGACCAGGCCAACGACGTCCTCCAAGAACTCCAGGACGAAGCCCGCTCGGCGCCCAACCCGTACCGTATCCAGATGAACGCCAAGACCCGCAAGTACCGGACTGAACTCGACGACGTCAACAAGGCGGTTGTCACACTGGCGACCAGCATCAACGCCAGCGGCGCGAGGCAGGAACTCCTGAGCCCTTCGACCGTCATCGGTGACTTTGGGAACGATCCTCAGCGCAGTCGGCTGCTTCAGATGAACGAAACCTTGGGCAGGACCACCGATACCCTCGCGCGAACGTTTCAAGTCGCTGCCGAGACCGATCAAGTCGGGGTTGCCGTGGCCGAAGAGCTGCGCACGCAGCGCGAGTCTCTAGTCCGGACCAAAGAGCGGCTCGAAGAGACCGATCAGAACTTGACGACGAGTCGTAAGATACTGCGCACCATGTACAGACGCGTGATCACCAACAAACTCATTCTGATCTTGATCATCATCATGGAAATTATCATCTTGGGTGGCATCGTGTACTGGAAGTTCTTTATGAAAAAGTGATTTGGCGATGGTGAATCTGAAAGTCGTGTGTTGTTGCTTCGTTGTGTAGTGTTGTTTTACCCAATAATTGTCAACGTTGAGAACCCGACGCTGCGCAGATTTTCCTACTGTGATTTTGCGTCGCGGACAACGGGCAATGAAAGCATGTGCCCATATTTAGGGACCAATAATATATTCGATAAGGGCGTCAAATAGCTACACATTTTGTGGACTTGTACGGGTTCCGATCTCCTATCCTTCCGAGGTATTTTTCGGCAATAATAAACTAGACATAAAATCGTTATTTATGACTTGCTTGAAGCTTATTGGGACGTCGCCGAGAAACAGCGATTATTAACTAGAAAAGAAAAATAATCGATTCATTTTTAAATCTTGCAGCACAGCGCACACCAAATATCTATTATTTTTGGACCAGATTTTGTGTTTCCAAATAAAGGTTCGAAGTGGCGCTGGTGGCGCCGTGATCGCGAAGTCGCGCGCGGTCGCGCGAACTTGCGCGATCAAAAAACATAAAAATAAGCGACGTATGGGCTTCACGCGTGGCCTCACGTGACCCGAACGGGCGCATTTCATTGGTCCGTTTGTGCTGAACCAACCCGCCGCGGGGAATTTAACGCTTTTTGACTCAGCTGCATCGCAGCATTCCGGTCAGTTGGGTTCCGACAGCGCGGTTGGCTCGGGCGTGGGAAACAATACACATTCGGACATCAGTACAAAGACCGCACACCAGCTCGGGTCAGCCACGAATGTCACCGAAAGGAGCCCCCATGCAGCCGTGAGTCGGACCCACACCGAGAGAACGAGATTTTCAAACTGACCCGTCTTTCTTTCTGCCCGTGAGCGCAAGAAGCGAGCCGACCGTTTTTTTTTAAACATGGCGAGGCGTCAAGCTCACGTTGCGTCCGTTGTCGACGCCGGCGACGAAAACTCCAGACCCTTCGGGGCTGCCCCTTCCAAGAGGTCCGAGAACCCCGACAGCAAGGTGCACACCCAGGCTTTGACCAAGAGGCCGGCGCTGACCAGTTTGCAGCCCAATTTGGTGGCGGGCGGTGGCAAGCAGGCCGGGCCCACGAAGCGTGATTTGGTTCGACAGGTGCGTTTTTTCATGCCTTGTCGCTTTGTTCCAGTCGTTGACCCCCCCCTTTTTTTTGTTGGTTTCCGGAGAACCTTGCTCATTTCTTTTATGTTTTATGTTGTCCTTGTTCATAGATATTCCCGTGCATGAATGTGCCTGTTCATTATGTTGTCTTGAACCATTTGTAAACCTAACGTTTTGTTCGTCGCTTCTGTGGTGTTCGCGAGATTTTGGGGGCGTCTTGGACCTGGGATCTTTGTCGTCAAAGCTTCGGTTTGCTGTAATTCTGCTCGTGTTTTTCACGGTAACTCCAGATTATCTTCGCGACATTTATTAAGCGTCCTCGTTTCGCTAGTTTGGTTGTGTGCCTTACGTGCGTTTTCAAAAACGATTTCGTAGATTTTTTTTTTTTTTTTTTCTTACCAAGTAAATTTGTTAACAATTATGATACTCTGTGTACTGGATAAAAATATCTCGGGTAGTCCTGATTGCTGCAGGGGTACGCATGCCAGGTCGACGCAGCAAGTGTCCTTACGTATCTAGCCTGGACCGACTTTTCCGAACGTTAGTGCTTGACGCTAGAATCTCGGTATTTTATTGTGAGAATATATATTTTAAAACCTATGGGAATTGGCAAGTACATGCATCATTTACTAGCCGGTAGTGTTTGGTGCGAACTGCCTTTCCATTGTGCTAACACTTCCATGCTCGTTTGCGTAAAATCATACCAAAGCCGCCTGTATACTCTGTGCCTGTCAGAAGCGCGCCTCGAGGCCGTCGTGTTTCCTCCTTTCCCTCACTCACCCCCTCCTCTCCTATCGCCCGTGTCAGCCGCGAGACGGCGTCACGCACGTTGGGGATCGGCGTCGTTCGGCAGCGGCGTGAGTGGAGCTGCGTGTTGCGTCGGGTTCTTCCCGTCGGAAAGTCTTGCGTTCACGCCTAGAAAAGCGTGTTGTTTTCTCTTGCCGATCGTTCTCCGCTCTGCTGCTTTTCTTGTTGGCCAAGAGTTAGAATCTGATGCCCGTTCTGCGTTTCTACGTCCATTGAAAACATACTGCTCGAGCCAATAAATAAAACATTGCCTTTTGAATTATGAACTATTGAATTCAAACCCATGCATAATTGAGGGATAAATAGAGCAATTTAAAATATTCCAACTGCCGATTCATACACTTCTGTTTTCTGTAACAAGTGTTCAAAGAAAACAAAAAAGGGAATGCTAGAGGGATTCAGAACTACATTTGTTTTATACTTACTTTAAGCATAAAAACCTATTTAGGTCTGCCATTACTAACCCATCGCCGTAAAATCTTTCGCTTGTGTCTTTTCCATAAAATATTTCATCAAAATGCTGACCTTCGTCGTAAACTAATTATCACACCATTCTATATCTCTGCTCGCATTGATCATAGTCATAAAGTCGGTATGCCAAATTTGAAAACTCCGTTGTTTCAACATTCTTCTATTCCCCAAACATCATTAGATTGAAACCACCTTCCCGTCTCCATACCTAATATTACTGATATTGTTCTGTTTAAGAGAGTTCTTACTAACACGTGCACATTGTAATTATTATTTTGATGTCCACTCCCCTCTTCAATGTATTATTACCTTGAGGGTATTTTAAATAAATAAATAAATGAATAAATTCACTTATAGTCGCATGTGCGCGTAGTTCAAAGAACCATTGCGTCATGCGCACTGCTTAAACTTCGTGATATTGGTGCGCGAAAATTCCGAAAATGACCTGTCATGTAGTTTCTCTCAACAAGTATTAACTATCGCAAGGGTTGCATGCTTTCACTTTTACCCTTCAAATTTGATTACTTGACGGCACCCGAAGATAGCGGCACGCTTCGACTTCGTTTTGTTCTGGCATATTTTTGCGGTTGTAAAAACGCAGAGCTTACACAAGAGCCTTGCTCAGAACTAAACGGAAAGAACCCGGCTCAAAAGGATGCTGTGCTAAATTACCCAAGCTTCTACACTTCGTTTCAATTTAGCTGCGAGCGAAGCCAAAGCTAGAAGCGCGAGACCAGCGCGTTTGTGTGTTTCTCTCAAGCTTGCGCGCTCGAGCAAAGCCTGAACGCACGGACCTTCCGTGCTCGCGCTTCCAGCTTTGCCTTCGCTCGCACATAAGGTGAAACGAAGTATAGGTGCATGAGGGGACTGTAAGTACGCGCGCAGCACGTGCTGGCGTCAGCACCAGTAATTTAAAAAAAAAAAAAAAAAGTTCTAGATGAAATAGAATGTTGCACGCGCGTTCGTTGGTACCTTTTTTTTTTAATTTACTTCGAATCTTTCTTACACGCAAAGCGAGCGCATGCAGATCGTGTAGCTACACTCGCCGTACGCCCGAGGGAACTAAAACTCGTGTTTTAAACATTTTGGCATGGCTTGCCAGCGCTTCTAAACGCGTTGCGCCTTTCGCGTCGTCTGCTACGGCGGCAACGTTGGTGGCGCCCCCACGATCGGGGGCGGCGGTGGCGCGCGACTTTTTCGACGGCGCCCGCTATTGTTCTCCCCTCCGTCTGCCAGGCACAGAGTATACAGGCGGCTTTGATCATACCTGTTCCCTTTTTTTTTTTTTTAGATGTTTTTCGGCAATGCAAAATTTGAACAATCGTCAGCTTTCCGGTCATAGTGATTTTCGCTGATATCTGTGACAGTAACATTGCAATGGGTGGTATTCTATGTCGACCGTTTCTTAAACTTTCTTTTTTTTTTTCTGATTTAAAACATACAACCGCTCATGCAGCCTCTCAAGCAGAGTGTTTATCTATCGACATTGCCCAGTGTGTGAGGTAAAGAACCTTGCAGTTCACCTGGCCTCTTTTTTAATTCTGGTACATATGCGACGTTGTGCTCTCATTTAAAGGGAGGAACTGAGTTTCTCCCTTCGCAAGAAACTGAGAGCTTGAAGACTCAAGTTTGCTGCCCCTAGTATCCCCCCCCCCTTTGCTTTCTATTGCTATGTGACCTTGTTAACCTAATGCTACAGAAGAGTGCATGTGAGTATTATGATTACATCAACTAGAAATAGAGTAGTTTCCTCAATGTCAAAATGATGCCACTTTTTGCTTGGTTAGGTTTCTCATGTGCGAAACACAAACAGTAAAAAAAGACTAGTTAGCAAATGTACCTGGTGCAGTTTAGAGCCACTGAATTTGGCAAAAGTACTGTATACCATGGCGTCGGATTCATCAGGAGAAATTTAGCTTTAGATTTCGTTAGATAAGAAATCTTGTAGGCTGTCATTGGCCACCATCCTGAAGAAGCACTAAAGGCGTTTCTGAGATTGTCTGTTCTTGGTGATAACTCCTTCTATGTGAACTTAGTATCCCAGAAATTGGGAAATTATTCTTGTGCGACATCCATTTCCCTGCTGAAAATGTGATCGAAGTTTGTGCCACGCCCCTTTCTGAGTGGCAAAACCTGGAGCACAGGATTCAGCGCAGGTGCTGGTGGCTCCTTTGCTTGTGATTGGCTGGCACCTCTGCTGAATTATGTGCTCCAGATTGTTCTGCTCAGAAAGACAAGTAACACGAACTTGGATAACATTTCTAGTAGGGAAATAGACTTTGCACGAGCATAATTGTTCGATTTCTGGGATGCTAAGTTCTCGTAGAAGGAGTTATCACCAAGAACAGACAATCTGAGAAACGTCTCTAGTGCACCTTTAAATCCGGTGGGGAAAGGGAGTTATGCAAAATATTTACACTCTAAACAACCTGCAATTTCTGACTGTTCATAAGGTGCATGTGGGCATTTGAGTGTTAAATAAATGAAAAGGTTTCATTTCGCTAGGGCTACTGTTGAGTAGTCTACAGTCTGGACCGTGGGAGGTTGGGTCTTTGTTCTCTGACATAGTTTGCCTACCCCAATGTCATGGCGCAATGCGGGCATTTTGAAGCCACCGATGGTGTTGAGATGCACGTGTTTCACTGCTCTTGAAACATGGTCGCTCTCGCGATGCCCACGCTGAGTGTCTAAACCCGATGGCTGCTCCCTAAGAGCAGCCAACAAGGAGGATATAAGAGTAGGAGAGGGCATGACCGTGTAGCCTCCACGAGCCATGCTCCCTTGACGCCTCTTTCTCACTTTCCTCCTTACTCTCCTCACTTATCAGCCAAACATGACCATATCACGTGACCATAGCTAGCCTTCGTCTAACCTTCGATTTGATCAAACTTACTGGACGGAGCGCGCACAAGCCTGCAAGGAATCCTTCTACAATCAACCATCCATCTCACACGTGATATGCCACGCACACCAATTGCCAGAATGATCTACGATCACATTGGCCACAACATCGTTTAAACTTTTATCACTAGGCTTCACTGATTTTGCAAGGTGCCCCCTCCTAGTACTTCTAACCTCCTTGGCAGCCAACCTGCTTGTCTCTGGTCTCTGCTCTTTGGAATAATTAAGGAGCTTTTCTGATCTGCCACCCAGACATCCCGTACACAGAATTCCTTAGTAATACATATGCGAATCTGGGCAGCACCACGTCGAGAAGTCGAGTCGTAGTGCCACATTGCACCACAACTCGATCCCAAACGTCGCTGCAGTCGCTGGCAGATTGAAAATGGCATGTCTTTGAATCGCCAATCCTCGAACACGTGCTTCATGCCTTCTGCGTGGCTGTTCAGGCGTACTGTAGGTGTACGAGTTGTCGAAGGTAAGGCAGTCGCGCTGGAGTCGGGACAACTGGAGCTTTTGATTGTTTATGACTCGACTACGACTGCATTCCGCGTTGCGAGACACCGAGAAGTCGCATGCCCAGGTGATCCCCCACGGCGCCCCCACCAAACGTGGCGGGACGGTAGCCCAGGAAAGTTAGCCGGCAGTGGTTCCACGTGGCTACACCGTTGCGGAACGGCTGCACCAATCTCTACTCTGCCTCTTTTAAAATGCGTTCCGGATTAACAAAGGACACCTGACTCTCCGGGTGGCTTTGAAGCGACTCCTGTCCGGGGTAGACGGTGCCCTTCTTGGGTCGCTTTGTCGATCGATTGAATCGACGGTGGCAACAACATTCAAACGCAGCAATCCAACGCCCGGCGGTCGGCCAGACTGAGCTGCAGAGGACCCAGTTTGTGCCGTGCTCCACCGAGCTTCGAGATCTACGCAGAGTCGTCTGGCGCACGGGGGTCGCAAGTCGACGTCAAGGCGGCTGTCCCCGCCGTTGCTCCCGATGAGGACGGCGAGAACGCTCCTCATTTTGATGATCGGGGGGCGTCCGGCGATGTCTGCTCAGACTCTCCAGACTGTGGAATGGAGTGCGAGGCCGCGGGTGAGTCTGCCGTCGCGTCGCATACCTGCGGACCGTCCGTCGGCGTTGCGGCTTTTCCCACAAATCCTACACACCGTTTCACTAAGTTCAGACGCAGCCGATGGGACCGACCAAAGAGCTTCGAAAACGCGAGTTACTGGGCCTTTCCCGTAATATGAGGACCACGCTGTGGTTAGCCCCATTGGCTCATGGCATAAGGAGCTTCCGGACTTTAAGGTGCCCTAAAGACGTTCCTGAGATCGTCTGTTCTTGGTGACAACTCATTCTATGGGATCTTAGCACCAGAGAAATAAAAAAAGTATGCTCGTGCGACGTCCATTTTCCTATTAAAAATGTGATTGAAGTTAGTGACATGCCCCTTTCTGAGTGGAAAACTCTGGAACACAGAATCCAGCGGAGGCAGCCGAGTGACGATGAGTGAGTGTCAGCCAGGCCGTGTGCCCGTTGTCAAGCCTCCGCTGGGTTCTGTGCTCCAGAGTTTTCCGCTCAGAAAGGGGCATGTCACTAACTTCAATCACATTTTTAATGGGAAAATGGATGTCACACAAGCATACTTTTTTAATTTCTCTGGTGCTAAGATCCTGTACAATGAGTATCGACAAGAACAGACGGGCGGATGCAGGAATTTCCTGAGAGGAATCCCCTTTTCCTCGTTTCACGCCCTAAATTTTACACATTCAGAAATCAAGAGGGGGGGGTCAGGGCATCCGGACCCCCCCGCCTCCCTCTAAATCCGCCCCTGAGAACAGACGATCTCGGAAACGTCTTTAGTGCACCTTTAAAGTAGAAACAGCCTTGTTACCCCACGTGTGCAGCTTTCACGCATTGAAAAGTGCCAGACAGGCTCCTACCTGATGCACACCTGTTCGGACATTTGCATAGAGTGCGACAAACTGGGGCACGCGAGGCTTACTCGAAAAGTCGCGGCGTAGTTGGTCACACTGAAATTCAAATGCCCAAATTGACCTTTACTCGACGGCTCCTGCGACTCGTTTCGTCGCCGCTCTGAAGATGGTGTAATGCGTGTGCGGAACGGGAGGCCGGGCACTCCGGTCAAAACGTGTTGGGGGCGGCACTTTGGTTGCACCGACGAACGGACCCCCCGCCGTCCTCCCCTCTCTCCCCAACCGGGAACCCTGCCGACCCTGGACCCAGACTCCCCCATGGTCCTGGACACGTCCCTGCACACCCTGGAGCCCATGTCCTACATGGAGGTCCGGGACCTGGAGGCCAGCTCGGAGTACGCCCAGGACATCTACACCCACCTCAGGCAGCAGGAGGTGGGTGGGCTTCTTTTGGTCACGCCACTGCTGATAAGTCTTGCAAAAGGACGTGTTGGAAGCTTACAGATGTATGAGGCAGACGTGCTCCATGCACGCACCATACCTTTTGTATGTTGTACGGGCAGTGTGACTGCGGCCTTGCGGAATGGTGCCGCTGCTTTGTTTTAAAAGGGCTCTACCACGCCAGCCGCGGCTTTGCCGCAGCTGGCGTGGTAGAGCCGCCAAATGGGCCGCTTTCTCCACCGGGGTCGGTTTGCTAGTGAATGTAGGTTTCTCTGCCGGTGGTTTTACTGTCGCATGACTAGCTTCGTGGGGACGAGGTACCTACAAAGAAAACTCGACGTCTACTGTTTTCTGCTATGTTGTCGAGGCTAGCGTCTCTTGTGTTGTGCTGCAGCTTGGCACTGCTGCGAGAGTGCGCTGCTTTGTCCTGCATCTCGTTTTCATGCGCTCTCGTGGAAAGGAGACCGTGTAAACGCGTTGCAAACGCAAATGAGGTGTAGTTGAATGTAAGATGAAGGAACGCCGATTCAGTTGTATGACTTTAGTCTCCTTCTTCCTTTATTATCTTATTTCTGTTTCGTCTTTCTTTTCCTTAGACAATACAGCGCTCGAGCGAATGGCTTTTACGGTGTGCGAGCACTGTGGACGATGCGCCAGCGTCGACTCTGCAGCGCAGCATAGGTGGCTGTGAGATTGGCAAATGGCTGCCATAAATTGTATCAATAGTGAGAGATGGGCTAGTTGGTACGTCATTCCTTTTGACAGAAGTGCCACGAGACATGGACAGAAAGTAAGACGTAGCACAAGTCCTTTATTGCCACAATTCTGTCCTCACTTAGGTTATTTCCTGCGTGTACGCTTTTGCACGGGCGAGAAGATGAAGAGGCTTGAAATGCGAGACGAATAGCATTTATCTGCTTTAGGAGTGGCATGTGAAGTTATCTCTGGGAAAGATAGTCTTGGAGTGAGAGTAAAAAAAAAAATGGGCAAGGGTCTGACGAGCGATATCGGCTGGAACGCTATTGCCTGTGTTACTAGTTGCATGCGGTTCAGGCAAAGGCAGCGCCAGGCGAGGAGAAAGGGCAAGCACTAGGAAGGCTGGGGACGAGGAGAGAAACCTCCTTTCCTTTCCAAGGTTCGTAGCGCTCTGCCTTTCTCCCCTCGCCTTCCTAGTGCTCGCCCTTTCTCTTTGCCTGGCGTTGCCTTTGCCTGCACTGCACGCAACTAGTGGCATTGAGTACTGGTACTTTCCGTTCTCTGAGCCAGTCACGTCGCCAGATAATCTCTCGCCGCATTCACCAGCGAACCGCTCCGGGGAACGTTCCAGACTCGAGGAAACCCCAATCTGGAAATTGATGCAGTAAACTGGTCATCCACCAACCTGGGAACAGTGGAAGCCGTTAGTTGTCAGGGGAATTCAGCGATTCTGTAAAAGCCGGGGACTCTCCACCTTGATCGGCACCGGTCGGGCAAACTGTGTTGCCTTCCTTCGAGTGACTGTAAACGATGAGCGTCTGGTGCAGGCCACATTGCACGCGACTTCGCTTGAAAACTAGTCTTGGTGGAACCCGAATTCTTGCCTCTCGAAACTCTGGCACCAAGACTAACTTGTCTGCTTGCGCTTGCACCAGTGGGCTTGCCCAGAGGTTTAATTAAAACTGGACATTTATTCTGCAAAAAATGTCCGACTGATAAGGTAACAGGTTTTTTTAGATGCCCCAGTGAGGAGGTTATGGAGCTCCCGTTGCTCACAAGATGTGCAGGAAGTGTATGGCTTGTAGTTAAGCATTGACAGAAGGCTTAGATCTGCTAAAATGGCACTTAAACCGAGGAAACGCTTCACTCGGGGGTGGGGACGTTCGAGGAAATTTGGGAGTTTGGAGAGTCTTAGAGGAACATAACGTCCCCCAGAAAGGCAGTTTGGAAACCCAGACTGGTGACACTGCATTCCCCGATTGTTTTGCAAAGCATAAGAGCAGTTGACTATAGCTACCACTCGAATTGGGACTTCGCGAACCTTGCATACGGTGTTCAGAGGCTCGGGCAACATTGTCTCGCTCAGTCGCGGAACCGCTTAAGCTGCTCCGCAACTTCAGACGAAACCTTGCTTAACCGTCAACGACGAGTTTGAGCACTTGAATGAAACTGTCCATCGTGCAGGCTTCCCACAAGTCCTTGAAAGTGTCGGAACTCTGAGCCGTCATTTTCAATGCCTCGTAAGTTGTTGAAAAAATATAAAAAATGTTGCGACACTGTATGAGAATGGCAAAGAATGCAGGACTTCAAGCACGCCTTCTCACGCGAGTCTCTCGCGGCTCTCCTCTTCTCTCCCCGGGTGCGCGAAGGAGAAGCTGACCCCGAAGCCGACGTACATGAGCAAGCAGCCGGACATCACGTCCTCGATGCGCACCATCCTCGTCGACTGGCTGGTGGAGGTGGCCGAGGAGTATCGCCTGCACCCGGAGACTCTCTTCCTCGGCGTCTCCTACGTGGACCGCTTCCTCTCCGCAATGTCGGTGATCCGCAACAAGCTTCAGCTCGTCGGCACAGCTGCCCTCTACATCGCTGCGTGAGTGGACTCTTCGTGGAGCATGAGAGCGAAGGTGGTGACATCACGCTCGTGCTCCGATCTTGATTACACCCAACACTGATGCATGTTTCTTTTTTTATGGTTAGGGCAGCTTTTTATGGCACGAGCCCAATTTATGTGCCCCAAGCATTGGTGATGGAAGTGCTGCGCCAAATTGCATTATGAATCCTGGTACTTCTTGTGCCAGAATGCCATTTTTGCTAAGAATTGTGCCTCACATGTGCCTAGATGGGCCTAAATCAGAAAGAAATTGATATTTTATTATTGGTTGGCTTTAATATTTGGGGAAGTAGAGGGAAAGAAAAATTTTACAAATAAGAGTTTCACGGCGTCTCTACACACCGTATAGTTTGCCTCGTCTTATGTCAGCACTGGCGAAGGCTCGAACACCCGCAACCAAAAACACTCGTATTACAAGTGGCAAGTCACGGGGCTATTGATTGCGCTTGACTGGTTTAGCCGATGAAAGCACAGGTACAAGGGTACGACGAACGCCACGATGTCACGCTTTGAAGCGGCAATTCAACTGGGCAGAGCCGTTGATGCTGGGCATCGACCGCTCTGGCCGCTTGATGCACTGGCTGGTTAATCACCGTCTAAATTTCCAGTCGATTTCGGAGACCAAGTCTTGAGAAGACTGTTGCAAAATACTAAGATAGTTGATTGCAGCTACTGGTACTCCTGATAAGAGCACTCAGTTGTCGTGTCTGCCACATGCCTCCATGTCATGGCTGCACCGGGGCACTTGCGCCGCTTGCGTTAAAGTTCACTGCCTTTCATCAGTGTGCGCATGTCGAGCTTCACCGCTTTGCACCAGAGTGCCACGAGCAGCGGCTGTTGTGGAATAGAACCAGTTTTATATCGAAAGACAGATTGCGGTTTGGTAGTCTTATCTGCTTTTGACTCGGATAGATTGAAAGTAGTTTGAGTTTCGTTTATTGCTCTCAACAAAAGGTGTGCCCCCCCCACAACTCTTGGAAGTTTCGTGGTTTTGTTTGCAGCTTTTGGGCCGGGTCAGCCTGGCCACCCCTGTAAACAACTTAATTTTTGCAAGGTCCGCATTTTTGCGAATCGCTTACAATTCGCGAAAATTGGGTCTCGCAAGCAATTCCGGTAAGATGTAAACACATTGGAATCTATATTGAGATCATCCCACCGCGTCGCGAAAATTGAAACCCGCGAAATATTCCAAAACTTCAGCTTTGACCTAAATCGCGAAATATTGAGCCCGTGATAAAATTATTCGTTTACAGTATATACATTCGAATAATTACAGTAGGCACGGTGGTCCCCGTGCAGCTGTAGATCGAAAGAGCAGCAAACTGATCAACTCCAATTCCTATGCCACTAAGACCAGTGTCACTTTTAAAGCTCAAGTGTAGGCTTTTACAATATTTTTGTGTGGTTGTCTTTGCAGTTTAAGATATGTCTCGAGTTTGGTAGGTTCATTAAACTTATGGGACAGATTTCTCTTGGTAGACATGTTTGTGGATATGCTGTTTCTTGCTTGTACTGTATTTTAAATGAATTATATTTACAGGCTTAGCAAACTACCTAGTATAAAAGGGAGAGGATTTATTTCAGTGGAGTGTGGCACTATGATTCACTTTTCAATAATTTTTAGTACGCATTGTACATGAAACCTACTCTGACTAGAGCCTTATCTAAGACTTCCTTTACTCCATATCTGTTCTTATCACAAACGGTAATAGTTAACATGCTCGAGTGTCAGGGGAACCCTTCTTTATCTTTATTCTTTATTCAGGTAGCTCCTGCAGCGCCATTGAGGCATTATTGCAGGGCATTGATTGCCTTGATCACTATCATCAATGAACTCGTTAAGATGCTATCTCGCAGTCGTCGAATATAGTTTGTCGGCAATTTCTAGATCTCGGCGTCCTCCTTGAAGTGCGAGGTTGACCTACAGATCTACCATTCTGTAACAATAGAAGAGGACGATACCGAAACGGAAGTTGCCTAAACAAAAGATATTATGCGCCCACAAAAAGTGACACTACACAATAAAACATTGTTTTCATCGCTTGCCCTTGCATGCGGCTACACGTTGAAAAAAAAAACAGACTGCCCGGTTGAATGGGGCAGGCAGCAAACCCAGACACGATATGGAAGCGCACCCTGCTCTATTCGGGCGTGGCACTCGAAGCGTTAAGGCTTGTCAACACAGTTCCATCGACTGCGTTGCCCATTGGCTCATCGTAGGGGTCACCATAGCAACAGCTCGACGCAAGCAGTCTTAACGAGACGCAAGTGGCGTCAGTCGTGTGGAGGAGCCTTTAAGCCATTCGTGACTTATTCGATGCCTCCTCCTAGATGAGCTGCATTCGACAAACTCTTGGCAGAGTTGACACCATCCGTTGTGTTTGGGTGTCGCCAACCGGTTGCTTACGAACGCTCTTCTGAACGAGCAGTTTTGGCAAGACTAGCTCGAACGGCCAGAAGACCGCTCTCGTTTCTCTCTTACCCTTAGTAAATGTGCCATTTGTCTGTAGACCAATTGGTGCATCTGACGTGGGCGCTGCAGGAAGTTTGAGGAGATCTACCCACCGGAGGTGTCGGAGTTTGTCTTCATCACGGACGACACGTACACGAAGCAGCAGGTGCTTCGGATGGAACAGCTAGTGCTCAAGGTGCTTTCGTTCGACATGGCGGCCCCCACCATCTACTACTTCCTGCTCCGCTTCGCGGAAGTCGGCAAGGCCCCGGACACCGTCAAGCACCTGGCTCACGTGAGAGGCTTTCTTTGATTAGGTGCCGTGCCGCCTTTGCCCTCAAAGGCCGGTGCGCACTCTTGCGACCGCTCGGGACTTGATGCATTACGACCTTGCGCAATATCCTAAACAAGAACTCGGATGGGTTCCGAGATTGTCTGTTTATGGCGGCGACTCAATCTGCGGGCTCAAGTCATCCTAAAAAGACCTGAAATTACGCTCGTGGGTGGCAGATTTTCCTATTAAAAATCTAACCTAAGATTGTGACACACACTTCTTTCTGCGCCTTAAAGCAGGCACTGGGGGTGCCGTCGGTTGGCATTTTCACTAGAGCCTAAATTGAAGAGAGGATCCATCTTAAACCATGACGAGCGTTTGCAATTCAATGGTGAACACCTCCTGATCGGTTGCAAGCGCGCTGTGTGTGGGTGGCAAGGAGGAAAGGCGGAGATGTTTGCAAACGATCGATGCTTATATCACCTCCTTGCAGCTCGTTTTGCCAATGTGGCCCATAAACCATGTCACCCCGATCGGGCACCCAGAGATTTAATTCCTGTCGAAATATAATGCTTGATGCTCTTAACAAGCAATATTACAGATATTTGTGATCTCCACGCAACTCCCTCTTTTCATTGGTCCAATTTTATGGAGGGAGTGGAGGCCGGAAGATGCCCCTCCCTCCGTACTCCCCGAAGAGGAAGTCGTGGTGTATTTTTTGCTGTTAGTTTACTGACATCTTGCCATCTAGAACTATTCATTTTTATTGACCAATGCCCAACGAACAATAGGCCATTAAAAACAAGCGTCTATGAAAAGCACGGGAGTGCCCCTTTAAGACAAGAAAATACTGGCACCACCTATGAGACAGCTTTGGAACTGCATTTCACTACAGTCAAGGTTTTGCAGTATCTGATGTTTAATTTATTGAAACGCTCGTTTACGACATTACCGTAAAGTTCCGAAAGAACGCCCGCTTAAAATAAAGAGATGGAATCGAGATCGCGCACGCAGATCGCGGACAAAAACGCGGGAACCCGCTATAAAGTCGCTTGTCACACAAACTATAAACCGCTATAACCTCGCTGGTACAGAAAATTGCGCGGTTGATGCGATTCCTGTCGGACATTGCATGACGTCTGACAGGAATCGGGGGTGGGCGATGTTTCGGAATTTTTATGTTGCAGATATTTAGCCAGAGAAATGGGATGGGCGATCTCTCGGGGGTGGGCGTTCTCACAGAACTTTACGGTAAGGTTTTCAAGCCAGTACGGAGAGAAAGTCAGCTTTTTGCAGAGGATTTGTGGTGACGTCAGAACGACGCCGGGCTCCGATTGGCTTTGATCGAAAGAATAATGGCTAGGCCTTATGCTAGGTGCCTTGAGGTCTACCCTCTATATTTTTCCAATAAGAAATCGTCGTTCTCACATTATTGACACCCCTGCAAAGAAGCAAACCAACTTGCGCTCTGCATAGCAAAAGAATGATGTGAATAAAAAAATGGGAAATGTTCAGAAATAGCAAGAGTTCCACAGCTTCCCGACAGATGGCGCCGGGGGTGCTCTTGCACGGTAAGGGACCGCAAGAGGTTGTGCTTTGCATAACGTGCTCTTCACATCAGTGTTTTGTGGACGCATTTTGTCGGTCTATACAGTTGTCTGCTACGCATTTTACGACGTCGACTTTATGTATATTTTTCCGGCAATGCCATGGAGCTGCGAAAAGCCATTTTTGACGTTTAGGAATCGGAGGAGTGTAGCAGTTCAGTCATTTCAGGAGTGAGAATGGGCTCTGTGTCTCCACTCCTGGGAGTTGAAGGGCATAAACTAATTCCCTGGAATTTGGGCGGGGAAGTGTGCTTGGTCCACAACACTGGCCTAAAGAGGCATCTACCCTTTTTATCAAGCGTGTTAATTATGAGAAGTTTGGAAGTGCCTTCTGCAGTGTGCTTTTAAACCAGTTGCCACTCGAGTATAGCGCGGCATTTCTTCCAGTATCTGTGCGAGCTGACGTTCCTGGAGGACGACCCGTACCTTCAGTACCTGCCCAGCATTGTTGCCGGTGCGTCCTTGTGCCTAGCTAACCACACGCTCAACCGATACCCATGGGTGAGTCTGACTTATCAATCGGTTAGCGTTCTTATTCCTTGTGGTGAACGGCAATGAGGATGTAGCTACAGAAGTAGCGCTGCTATCACTCCCCCTCCTGTTAAACGCCGACTTCGCGATTTCCACTTTTGCTGTCCTCCTTTCCTATATGCTCTCCAGTTTTTACCTCGCCCCAACTTGGCTCTTCTCGCAACTTAGGAGAGGGGAAAGCTAAGATGATTGTCTTCTTTGCAGTAAACCGAGGTTGTACGTCGGCCTTTCAAGAGACAATGGCATCTCCGCAAAATTACTTTTATTTTTTGCCAGGCGGTTTAATATGGTGTCGGGAGACTACAAAACACTTCAACGAGTGTTTCGTAAGTTCGGAAAAATAACGAGTAATGGAGGTAGTACAGTCAGTAGCACAGCACGAAGAAGAAAGGAGTATGTTCACGGCGTAAGAAAAATGGGCAACGTTTTCAGTAAAATTTGTAGCACATCTCGCGTTTTGTTTTATAAATTCATAAAAACTAAGTTTGAAACTGTGGAATTTGATTTTCGCAGTTTCGAAGCCTGAATTCTCGTGAAATTCAGGCTTGGAATTTAAAATTCAACTTTTGAACCTTTCGGTGTTCAATTCAATGTTCAACGTTCAAATTTTTCTAACTATCTATAAAAATATTTTGATGTCTTTGGACTCGTAAGCTTCAGAAAGCCTAACATTTTTGAATTATTCGAAACATTGAACCTTGGCAGAGTTATGTTGCAAACTGGAACTGGAACTTTGGGAGGTTCGCGGCATCCCTAAAAAATGTTTGCAAAGCTCTTGAGGGTAACTTTCGTTGGTTCGTGCTTGTCGATGCGGACATTCCCGTTGTAAGTCCTGCGTGACCCCCCCCCCCCCCCCCCGAGGTGACGTGACCCCCCTCAGTACCCTTCCCTACTCCTCCTCAAGAGCTGCGCTCCAATTTGGCGTTACAGGGATTTGTAAACGGCTTTCATTTTTTTAATGTTTGTTTTGCATGTTGTGTTACTGACCCTCTAGTTTAGGTGGGCGGTTCCTTGCCGACTTGACCGATTGCGCAGTGGCCAAGCAGCGCACTTGTGACTGTTAGAGCGCAGCTTTTAGGCGCCCGTTTCCGGCTTGAGTGGCGTCGGCGTAACTGCGAAGTGCACTATGGGAAATGTCACATAATGCACCGCGCTAGCCCCCCCCCCCCCCCCCCCCCCCCACCTGGGTCACGTGACCGGGGGGGGGGGGCACGTGACCTCCCCCAAGGTCACGTGACCCCCTCCCCGAAGTCACGTGACCCCCCTCCCCGAGGTCACGTGTCCCCTTCCCCGAGGTCACGTGTCCCCTTCCCCGAGGTCACGTTACCCCCCACCGAGGTCACGTTACCCCCACCGATGTCATGTGACCCCCGATGACGTCATCATCACTGATGCTCCCCCTCCTCAAGAGCTGCGCTCTAATTCGGCGTTACAGGGAGTTGTAAACGGCTTTCACTTTTTTATGCAGACCTTCATGAGCCAAAGTTTGGACCTAAAACCCATTGAAGTCTGTTGTGCTTAAAGGGGTACTTCCACGACATATTTTTCAGCCACCCCAACTAACTCAGTTCTTTGAATCGCCGGTCCTTTACCCCCTCTGGTACTTTTTTGTATCGCAAAAGTCAAAATAGTTATTGTGAAATGGGGAAATGAAGTTGATGTCAAACACAACATTCAAATGTATCTGTGCTTTTCAGTTTCACATTACATACGAGCTGGGAGTCTAAATACCGTATTTACACAATTGTATGTGCCCCCCCCCCCCCCCCTGAAAAAATTCCACAGCAGCAAAAAACAAAGTTGATAGTTTAGAGGCACATTCTATGGCAAACATGTGAGAACGGCAGGGCGTCTCTCAAAACCTCTGCCTCCAGCGTGCATTCAATGTCTTCTGCCGTGCTTTGGTCGCTCACGCACATGCGAGTCGCACGAGTTGCCGGAGAGTTATCAAAGCTGGAGGCGGAACAACTGAAGCTGCCCCCTGTCCTTCTTACTCTTTGTCTGCTACTAGACACTGATTCGTCGGTATCGTCCTAGAAACTCTCGCACTTAGCAAATGACCGCATCTTCCGCGCTTCCTCTGTGATCGCATCGCCCGTCACGGGCAGCGGCCGATCGCGCACTTCTGCGACGTACGTTGCAAGCTTGACCTCTAATTTTGGAAAGCATCTGGACCTATCCAGACTTTGGCCCTCGGAAGCTTCTTAGTTTGTTTCCCCGATTAAGCCCCTCTGCCGTTGCAGACGCTGCTGGAGCACCGCCCGCTTTGACGGGTCGAACTTGCATCCAGCAGCGTTGTTTTTGGTCGCTTGCGGATGAAGTATGGGCCGTAGATGAGCACCGAAAACCGAAGCTGTCTGGATCACAAGTTTCGATAGAAACTTACTTGGCTTTCCAGCAAGCTTCCATGACCTCGACTTTCTATCAAACGATGTGCGACCGTGCATTTTGCGAAAAGCAGGGGAGTGAGGCTGTTCCATGGTCGTTTTGAAGGGGCTTTTGCATCAAGTCCCGTAACCCTTGCGATTCAGGCGCATCCAATCACTGCGAAACATTCCGGCTGGTTTGCGAATGAAATAAATACTTTTCCGTGCACTTAAAATAAAGACGAAAAGTTCTGAAATGAGCGTACGGTATGGCGCAATGCTACTGGTTCAACCGACTGAACTCGAGCAAATGTGTTCTTGATGTCGCAGTTGAATCATTTTTGGCGGCTGTGGAATGCTTTGTTTCTACAACTCGACCTACAATCGTGTAAATGCAGTACAGTATGCCAAGCATTTGTTTCATGCTGTAGCATGGGTGGTTGATCGAGCTTCCAGAACATTTATTCGATGTCATGAAACTGCTTGTAATCAGTGGGAACCTATTCTACATTCCAAAATTGAACCCTTACCTGCCGCTGGCGTCACTTTTTGATTGTTGCCAGTAGAAACTTTCAGTCTCAAAGAAAACCGAGGACCAACATTGTAAATTTAATAAATTGGCGGAAATGTTTTGGCCAAACAATTTGGTTAATTCGGCAGTGTTTGTTCTGTGGGGGCGGTGGTAGTCCCCAGGAAGAAAGAACAATTTTAAAGATTAAGATAACTGTTTATTACGGAAAAGAAAGGTTTGTCTGAGTCAATGGGACGGGCGGAAGCAGCTGGGAAGGGAAGAACGTGGGCTTGGAGTACTTTGAGGCGATGGCAGCGGGCGAGGGCGAGGCTAGTGTATGAAGTGACGGGTAAGGTTACAGCTGCGGCGAAGAAGTCTGCTGCCGGGGCTTGCGAGCAGAGTCGACTTGGCTGGTGTTTACATTTGGGCGATGGGTAGAACTGAGGGCGAGAAGTGGACGGTGGGTTTGAACGGCGAGGGCTCGTTGGCTCTAGAGAACTCGGGTTGCGGGGAGCAATTCGGAAGGAAAGAACTGAGCGGGGGCGGCAGAGGGGATGGAAGAATAACCGATGGCTACGGTTAACATATGCTCGGAGTTGAGTCAATTTTGAGGCATATCGGGGACTATGAAGAAAACGCAGGAGTGCCCCTTTAACTTCCGCAATCCGTATGTCTTTTCCTCCTCATTGCGTGCAGTCCTCGGACCTGGTCCTCTACTCTGGCTACAACGTGGAGGACTTCAAGGAGTGCATCCACAGCCTGTACAGCAGCTTCTGCAATGCTGGCACACAAGCACAGCAGGCCATCCAGGAGAAGTTCAAGTCCTCCAAGTGAGTCGACTGCACTGCATGCCTTTTTGTTCTGTGCTCCCTTGTGAGCCCTCGAATTTCATTGTCAAGACTTTTGTGACAAAAATGACCAAGTGGGGAACATCGATTTAAAACTTGATATCTTGGCCTTGTCTGGCGGCTTGTTTCGAGAAAGCAGCAATGATTGACGGTACTTCGGGCATGGTGTCAAACATCCTTTGCAAAAATGTGAAGACATTGGTGAGAACATCGGAGGTTGCATTGTTGCTGTCATGCAGTATAATCACTGGCAGTATCATTGCGTTCAAAACGATGCGGTTCTACTTCCTTTGGGAACTCCCAAGTCCCTTGTAGTTTTACAGGGAGCTGTTAAGGGCTAGTTTCCCCAGCTACCGTCATCTATGAGCAATGGCGGTAACCTTTCCAGCCTTTCCACTCCGATGGAAACCAGAGGGGAAAGGCTAAATTTCTCTAGGTGTCATCCTTGAGGTCGCCCATGGGGTCGTCTGAGAAGTTGTCTTTGAGGACGTCCAAGAGGTCGTCCTCGAGGTCGTCATACCATAGTACAGCTTCGCTGGTCTTCCTTCTTCACCAGAGTGGAAAGGCTGAAAGTTTTTTCAAGTTTATTTAGGGGAACCCTTTTATGGTATTTGTGGCAGCGAAGGGGCATATTACTCGGTGTTCAAGCAAACTTAAAACTGCTACACTCTGCTAGCCCCCCTGATGCGAGATAACCGAATGCCACAATCTTCAATAACTCCATCGTTCCTTTGGCTTTTCGTAGCAGTTGTATGGTGATAGTGCCAGGCATTGTCATACTTTTATTTTTGACAAATTCGGATGGTCAATCGTCGGCAATTTATTTTGCCAGAAAACGGGCAATCGTGTTTTCTACCTGCCAATTTCTACCTGCCGCGGATCCACGTGCGCCGGCAAACACATTGTTCATGTGTTTGGCGGCGCACATTGCTTTGGCGTGTTGGGCCTCGCTGTTTTGGCCAGTTTCATGGCAAGCAGAGCGGTGTCTGTTTGTTGCAAGTTTATTCATAGCATCTCCGTAGTCGCGGTGGCTTTGCGGCGCAATGGCAAATTCCAAACCTAAAAGAGGTACTTTCAGCTGTTCCTGAAATTCTACATGTTGAATTGCCATGCTTCGTGCCGTCCAAGAAGGGAGAGAAGTTTGCATTCTGTCACACGTGCACGTGTGATGTAAGCGTTTCGCGCGGTGGGAAGGCTGATATTAAGCTGCACATCGCTTCGCATAAACACCAGGGATAAGTGCCTGCCTCTTACAACTTCCCCCGCGGCTGTGGGAGTTTTACGAATTTGAAAGTCCACAGGTTGGCAAGTATGGTGTTTGCATTGCCAGTTTCTGGCTGGTGCGCACAGTAGGCTCGCAACAGTTTAAACTCGGATATGCCATACTTCTGGTTAGTTTGAACTAAATTTAAAAATTTTGGTTGTCCCACTGTGTTTAATGTAATTTTTTAATCAAATTTTATAAGCCGTTTAATTCTCACGGCATTTTTGTGCAATTCAGTATTTTTTGTCTCACTGCCCCCATTGAGTGTGTTTCTTTCCAAACGTCGGTGCCATGCGGAGAAGCAACACCTGCGGGGCTTGTATCCACGGGTGTTGCTTTTCCGCAATGCTCTGGTGCTCGGTAACAAGCACGCTCAATGGGGCTAAAGCAGGGGACACGTGAGCAATGAAAGTGCAGCAATTTCAATAGCAACATGCACGGATGCTGTGACGGGGTGGCATGCCATAGGCCACGCAAGTTGCCATGTAAATTGCAGTGCAGCGCCTGTTTTTATCGCTCGTGCATCCCCTGCCTGACAGTCCACAAGAGACACCTTTTTTGCTAGGTGAACAAACTTAATATGCTGTCCAGTCCACGATAAACATTTTTGAGGGGTGAATAAACTTGTGTTGTATGTTTCACCAATGTTTTATGCATGGCATACCTGTTTATGATTAGTCTGCAGGTGGTCCGTACAGCTTAGCGGTTTGCCCGCGTTCATGTTCTCGACTTCACGACTTCTCCTGGGCTAGCACAACTGCACAGTTTGTGTATGCTAGCTGGACACATTCTTTGTCTGGTCTTTGTCAGCGCAGCTGAGCTAGTGTAAATATGGCTTTATAAACAAACTGTTAAGGTTGGCTTGCACTGCTTACGGACGAGTGACAGCTCTCGAGATCTGTTGCGACAAGTGAACACGCCAGTGCCGTCCTTTGAGTAGACGCGGAATGCTTGCCGTTTCCATAAATTTGAATTTTTTTATTTGTGCATCATATTTTCTTTTCTTGCTCGAAAAACTTTTGGAGGTGTTACGAACGACCATCTCCCATTGGTGGTAACATACATTTGGCGTTGAAAATAGCACAAAACCTTCGCTCTAGTGAATTGCAGTTCTGGAGCTGCCTCATTAATGGCACCAGCGTGCCAGTGCATTTAGCCACCCCGTTCACCCGCTCTGTGTAGCTCAGTCGGTGTGGTGTCTGGCTGGGAATGGCTTGTTCCTTGTTCCATCCCCATCCGAGTGTAATCTTTCATTTGTGTTTTAATAACGGGCCTATACGGTTCATATAACTTCAACCTACAAGGAGCAGTCGAGAGTTGGAGCAGTTCTAAAACGAAGTATAAACAGATTCTGCCTTAAAAATATGGAGCCCTACTTAGGCCTACACCGTTTTGGTGCTGCCTGCCTTCCCGAGTATTAGCACGCTTACCGCCAAATGCACAAACCTCGCTCTAATCGAGGTGCCCCTTCACTTCCTCCAGGAAAGCGAGAGGGCCGGCGCTGGGCCAATCGCAAGGGCGAATAAGGAGCCTAGGTCGCCTATTCGTCCTCGTGACTGGCCGGCACCGGCCCTCGCGCCTTGTCGCAAAATCGCAATCCTCGATTGGACGGAGGTTTGCGATTTTGGGCGCCTAGTTCAGTGAACGTCCCTTGGATGTAAGGAATTGCAGAACAAAGTGTGCTGCAAGGGTTCTTGTCGCTCACACCGCGTTTTGTTTTTCCTCCACGCCAGGTTTCACTGCGTCGCAAATCTGAAGCCTGCGTGCACGCTGCCCTTCTAGCGGACAACTCCGCGTCGCCACCACTGCCGCTCAACACGAACAAGTTTTTTCAATTGCATGTTGGACAATAACGTACATCGATGGTCGAAGTGTGCAATTTCATGTCTTGTGCCATTGTGAAATGTATGTCGCCACGGCTGTTTTAAGCATTTGAATGAAACCCATTTTTTTATGTGTGGCGGGGGAAGGGGGGGCCAATATTTCTGTGCTTTGTCTCTTCCTCCGACGGACTATAGGCAAAACTGTTGGCTTGGCTGCCAGGCCCAGTAACGAGAGAGTTAGGAATTATGCAACGCGTTGCAGTTTTTCTAACTGGAGACCTGCAACATCTCAAGCACCATGGCGCATGTTTTTTGGCTCGCTTGAGATTGATCCTGGTGGTTTGTAGCCTTGTCTGTAGTTCGCATCAAAATGAGGAAGTATACTTGTTTGCAAGTCCGGTCTCAGGGCGCCGCCATCTTCCTCAGTGGGGTGCGCTCTTGGGCGCGGCCATAATCCTATTATGACGCCTTAGCAAGGCTTCGTAATCAGATTATTACTCGTCGGAGTGCACCCCATCAAGCAAGATGGCAGCGCCCTGAAGCCTGACTTGCAAACGTGTATAGAGCGCATCTCGCAGCCTTTACTTGCCCCTCCCCTTCGGTTTTTAATTTCCACGGTCGGTCTCCGACATACTCATGTACAGTGCAGATACGATTCGGATGCATTATCCAAAGAGACTCTTCCAAGGTGTATGAAACGGAGGTATATTTATCCAATTGCCACATCCTTTATTTTTTTTATTTTTTAACAAACTAACTCCATTTTAAGCCCTGTACATAAGTGTCGAACAAAGTATGCTTTTTAAGCCAGTATCTGTCCAATCCAATAAATGTCCTGAACCAGATTTTGTTAGTCTGCATTGGTGTTTTGAATGAATGCGATTGCTTCAGGAGAGTGTGCAAGTCTGGTTTACCTACTCCCCAGCCGGGCCTCTCAAGAGGCTTACAAAAGAGGTATGTTTTTAGCTCGCAATTCGGGCGAAGATGTTTGTACTCTGACATGGGGCTAAATTGCCATTGTGCTGTAAAAGAGTCTACGGCAAATGCAAAATATATCCAGGCAACGTATACTCCGGTGACTCTGTCTTGCGATCAGCCCGAATGCGTCAACCAGAGTGAAAATGTCATCTTTGAATCTGGCGTGTTTTGAGGTAAGACGTTTATGGGGAAAGGGGAAGTGGAGAAGAGGAGATGTAGCACATAGTAGCCATGGTAGGCTTATTGGCTGGTAAACAGTTAAACGAATCTGGCATGAAATTCTGCTACTGCAAAAAGACAGATGCCTGAAAGGCTTGCAGATTGCGAAGTCTTGGCGAAACTGTGTCCCAGGAGCACCCGAGAGATGCGCAGAAGGACTGAACAAAACTGGGTAAAAAAAAGTAACTATGAAAAACTTATTTAAGTCCTAAGCAAATTGAATTGAATATACTTTATTCAGACAAACATCTTGGAGGATAGGGCAAAAGGCGACTATGGTCGCCCGACAAGGACCCGTGCCCCTGTACAGTCCAGCAGCAAATGTACAGAAAAAAAACTAATCAAAACAAATGATGCGGAAACCTTTCTTGCCTCCTATTTAGTATAGCGATCTGCTGCAAGAGACTAACGAGCAGGACTTCGCCTGCTCAGTCTCGCAATGAAACTGGTATATGCGAGTCGTAAAGGGTCCATTGAAACTTGTTATTGACTCGCAACCCTTCAGGCATGCATCTATTGTACATCTTTCCCAGTTTTCGAAAAACAAATATTTCCATACAATGCCTTGAAGTAGTAACGTGTGTTGTGGTCACTCGTAGGCTGGATTGCGTATTGGGAGCCAGACTGTGACAGCACCGGCAGCCATTGCTTGACCCCAGGCAAAACTGAAGCTTGTGTGAAGTGTCTGGTAAAGCAACTTTAAGGCATTCCAGGGATAAGACAGAATTTGCCGGTGTGAGGAACTCTACAGAAAGTTACACAAACATGCCAATCTCTGTCATCTGCTCAACCTTTCCAAATCTTAATCCTGCTTCAGATAACTCGACCGTGCATCATTGATGATAAAAAGGCAGTGGACAGGATCATGTGCAGGGCAACAAGAACACAGTTTAATGGACGTCTGAGGTATTTATCAGCCTGAAGGTTGCTGTTGGCGTGACTGTGCTAAGGGCTGCGTTGTCGTAGCAATGGCCAGGTTTCTGTTGGCTGTAGGTGCTGCATCGTCGTTTGGAGTTTCCTGGATCTGCGAAGTTGCCTCGTTGCTCGGCGTCGACTCTGTCTGGACTGGAAGCTCGGTGCCATTCTTGTCTGGACCGGGCGTACTTCAGTCGTCGTCACTCGCTTCCGCATAGTGCTCTCTGGTATGTAGCAGGTGCTGCCAGTTACGTCTTGGTATCCAGTGATCTTCTGTCAACACACGGCAAGACCTGGGAGTGGCCGTGTCAATCACCTTGGCTTTCCGCGACCATGCAGTGTGTCTAATCCTCACGACGTGCAGACTTCGAGCATACCGCTCGAAGCCTGCGCCGACAATGGACCGCAGTTTTTGCAGCTTCACTTCTCGGACGTTCTTTCGATGCTGCATCCTTCAGGAACAGCTCGACCTTCTTCTTGAAGCACTTCCAGTTTTCGAAGAGGTGTCCCGACAGTTGTAAGGGCTCCGGCATTTTGAGCAGATTCATCGTCATCACTGCGTCGTCTGACTACGCTTGGGCCCGCACCGGCCACTTCTGACACCATGTATCATTGATGATAAAGAGGCAACCGACAGGATCGTGTGCAGAGCAATCAGATAGCGCCGGGCGCACCGCGCATGACTATAGCGCCTTGTCATGCTAGGTGCTGTACATAACAAGCCCTATACAGACAGGAACCCAGTTTCTTTCGAGAATGTTTTAAAAAAAGTTACGTTAGCGAGCACGAGTCGATTGGCCCTCGGCCATCCCCTACTTTGATCTCAAAACAAAAATGCCTCAAATGCAATTTGCAACCCTCCGTCGGTAAAAGTGTAATAATAAACATTGCACTGAAGCAAACCTTTCTGGCCGATTCCATGACTGTCTAGCTCCCACTGGCTGCTCGTGCCTGGTGGGGCCCGTGCAGGTAAGAAAAAAAATTTTTCCCCCTAAATCCTTCGTGTAGTAAGTATTGACATCACAACACAAAAATTCCCTACCATTCCTAAAAGCTTCCTCAAAGTCCGGTTGTTCAAAATTTAATACAAAAAGAGAAATCTCGCCTTTTCACGTTCTTCGCATTCGCAACTTCAGCCCGGCTCGCGCCAACGAACGAAGAACCGGAGGAGCGAGGACAGAGACAGGGACTGTTGGCCTTGGTGCTTGTATTACCGCATGATTCTGGGAGTGTTTGTGCGTGAAGCCGTCTTAAAGAAGTGAGCTTCTAATTATGGGAATTTTTGTGTACCGCCTTGCCACAGCGTTGCATGAAGGAACCGGGATGTATAATTTCATTAGGGACTTTTTTTTAGAGCGCAGCTCTTAGGGGCCCGTTTCCAGCCTGAGCGGCGTCGGCGTAACCGGGGGGGGGAGACAAGCTGGTCATGCTGGGAGACAAGCTGGTGAATCTGGTCGAACTAATAATCGTGGTGGTCAAGCTGGTCATGCTGGAGCGCGCACGCCAAGGTCGGCTAGAGACAGCCGAACTGGCATTGCTGGGAGCGCGCGCGATAAGGTCGGCTTGGGATGGAACGAGGCCACGTCCTGTTCTTTGTCCTCTCGTTTTTGGTAGACGACAGGGCGCGTCAGGCACGCTGCAAGCTACCTTTGTGTGTGAGAAAAGAGAGAGAGAGTGGTGGGAACGGAGAATTTTAGACGCGATTGGCTAACTTGGGCAGATTTTCGAAAGGACGGCTGTGTGCGCGTTGTTTGGAGACTAGTTGAACGACGATGCAAGCGAAGCGGGTTTTGAGGAGACAGCGAGCGGTAGTCCGTTCAGTGCGGGAAGGTGACGGACGTCCCGACTGAGGCGTTGCTTCGTGTCTTCGAACGTGTGTGTGCTCGTGAATGACGGTGGTGCCAAGGAGTATCGCCAATGCCATTCAAGCCACATAAATTTCCTCACCTCTGCCGACCACGCAAGTTGCCGCTACGCCCCATCACTGGCGGGACCCAGGTTCGCTTCTCTCATCCGTGTAGTTTTTTCTTTAGCTATTGCCTGTTTTTGGCGTGTATCTAGTATTTTTTGTGTTGAAAGATAAGCAATCTGGTTTTATTAACATTGTTGGCTTTGCACCGAGAACCACTGTCTGTGCGTTGGTTAGTACTGTCTCAGCGCCGAGGATATGTAGCATCTGATTTCATGTGAGGCGGCCACATAACGAAACTAATAAATTGGATGCCGATTTGGCTTTTCTGAAGAGCTTGGCTTGTTTATCCGGTGTATTAATTTAAACAGGTTAACCTGGTTGGGAAGTCCACCAGCATGACCAGTATGACCAGCATGCCACACTGGGCATGCTGGGGCAATAACCCAGCTTGAACTTGGGACCAGATCAACCAACATGACCAGCATGCCAAACTGGGCATGCTGGGGCAATAACCCAGCTTGAAGCTGGGACCAGATCAACCAGCATGCCAAGCTGGGCATGCTGGGGCAATAACCCAGCATGAAGCTGGGACCAGATCGACCAGCATGACAAACTGGGCATTCTGGGGCAATAACCCAGCTTGAAGCTGGGACCAGATCAACCACCATGACCAGCATGCCAAACTGGGCATGCTGGGGCAATAACCCAGCTTGAAGCTGGGACCAGATCAACCAGCGTGACCAGCATGCCAAACTGGGCATGCTGGGGCAATAACCCAGCATGAAGCTGGGATCAGATCAACCAGCATGACCAGCATGCCACACTGGGCATGCTGGGGCAATAACCCAGCTTGAAGCTGGGACCAGATCAACCAGCATGCCAAGCTGGGCATGCTGGGGCAATAACCCAGCATGAAGCTGGGACCAGATCAACCAGCATGATCAGCATGCCACACTGGGCATGCTGGGGCAATAACCCAGCTTGAAGCTGGGACCAGATCAACCAGCATGACCAGCATGCCAAACTGGGCATGCTGGTGCAATAACCCAGCTTGAAGCTGGGACCAGATCAACCAGTGTGACCAGCATGCCAAGCTGGGCATGCTGGGGCAATAACCCAGCTTGAAGCTGAGACCAGCTTAAGCTGGTTTTTTCAATAGGGTAGTACCCCTGCCCATAGGTCGGCATTTCCGAACCCACTCACTCACCATCACATCACTAATTACAGCAACATCCAAAAGTCACAGCCCTTCACATCACAAAGTACATCGACGTCCAAAAGTCACAGCCTTTCACATCACAGAGTACACCGACGTCTAAAAGTCACGGCCTTTCACATCACAGAGCACACCGGCGTCCAAACGTCACAGCCCTTCACATCACAGAGTACACCGATGTTTAATATTCACGGTCCTTCACATCACAAAGTACACCGACGTCCAAAAGTCACGGCCATTCACATCACGGAGTTCAACCGGACAACAAACTCATCCCCATCACGTCACCGCAATCTCTGAACTCACAAAGTCATTCACCGTCACTTCACGAATCCGTCAAGTTCACGAAGTACTTCATGCACGTCACATCACGAATCCTTTAGAGTTCATGAAACATTCCCCATCCCATCACCGCCAACTCTGAATTCACAAAGTCGCTCACCGTCACATCACGAATCCAACAGAGTCATGAAGCATTCTCCATCCCGTGACCGCCACCTCTGAATTCACGAAGTCGCTCACCGTCCCATCACGAGCTCATCGAGTTCAGCAAGTCGTTCCCCTCACGTCCGTGAACTGATCCCGTTCATGAAGTCGTTCGACCG